ATTATTATTATTATTATTATTATTATTATTATTATTATTATTATTATTATTCTGCTACACCACACTGACTTTTGAGCTTCTATAGAAATAATGATTTTTCCAGGGCAGCTCCCTGCAGGATTTAATTTAAAGCCGCATAAGCGATTGCTGCTAATAGCCAAACCGCCAGCGAGTGAGAATCAAACAGTGGGTTGCTTTCGGTGTGGCCACTCAGACAGCCGAGCAATTAAAAGAGGGCAGGGCAAACACCTCCGCGATGCAGAGAATGGATTCTTTTTTCTTTTTTGAGACATCTTTCCCTGGGACCTAGAGTTATCAGCACTCAGTTGATAAATAACAGGAGATGAGGGGAGGGAGCGAAGCTCGGTACTCCGATCTGGGAGACCCGGGTTTGATTCCCCACTCCTCCACATGCAGCTGCTGGTGTGACCTTGGGTCAGTCACCAGTTCTCTCAGAGCTGTTCTCTCAGGAGCAGTTCTTGGGAGAGCTCTCTCAGCCCCACCTCCCTCACAGGGTGTCTGTGGTGGGGAGGGGAAAGGAAAGGAGATTGTAAGCCGCTCTGAGACTCCTTCGGGTAGTGAAGGGTGGTGGGGTACAAATCCAACCTCTTTGTCTTCTCTTCTTGTAGAATGTCAGGGGCTTCTGGATGGGCTCTGGGATAAAGGATACTGAAGCAGAGGGACCATTCGTCTGATACAACAAGGGTGCTTTGATGGATGTCCTTAAGGGACCTGCTGCTGAAATCTTGGGAACCGACTCAGTTGTGTCAATTTTGCATGTCTGTGTGTATCCATCGTTTTCCCTGCTCCCCGCGTTCCCACGGCTTGCAAACGCCTCCGTTTCTTGTTCCCCTCTGTAGGGGTTGATGACGCCGAGTCGGAATGTGGCCTGGACCAAGGCGTGGCCTTCGACTGGATCATCACCAACGACGGAGACCAGCTTTCCTTGGAGGTCCAGCTGGAGAAGTTGCTCCAGTTCATCCAGGGCACCCTCCAACCCCCTCCAAACATCTAGAACGTCCCCTCCCTCCCTCGACCCATCCTTTGGGTACTGGACTGGGACTTGGCTGCAGCACCAAAGAGAGAAAGAGAGAGAGAACCTGGAGCGTGGTGGGACCACCGACCGTTGGGAGTCCGTTCCAGGCCTGGGGGGGATCCGCTTCCCTGTTTTGCAAGTCCATTCCGAGACGTTCCATAATCCAGTGCCGGTTCTTCCCGCAACCCATTCCAAACAGGGTGTTCGTAAGCCGCCCTGGCTAGCTGCTTTCTTGCCGACATCTTTTGAGGGGCCATTTTTGAGGCACTGGGTCCAGTTTGGGGGAACCGGTGTCACTCCTGTGTTTGTCTCTCTGCTTTTCTGGTCCACTGTTTAAAAAGTTGCCACTTTTGGCCACCAGAGGGCAGGATGCACTCAGTTTAACATTTTTTGCTGTTCTTTGCTGGTAATCTTCCTTCCGAATTCTGTCTCAGCTCGCTGCGGGAGCTTCATGCTTCCTAACCCAGATTTTTTGGGATAGTCCTACCAGAGGGGTGGGAAACGCACACTGTTTGGGGGGGGGGGGAAGAGACAGGTTTTCTCCCCCATCCCTTCCAGATTTAAGCTGATTTTTCTCTTCTAAACAGGAATGTTCAAATACGACTTGCGTTTTTTTTTTAATCCCCGCCCACTTTTTTTCTCTGGGTGGGGGGAAAAAATCGCCGTGCCTTATTGTGGAGAGCTGCCCGTCCACCAGCCTGCCCTCCTCCGCCCTTTGCTCGCCTGCCCGTAAGCCCTTGCCGAATCCTTCTTTCCGGACAGAGTGTGCCAACTTCCCCCCTCCCGAACAGCTGTGCGACAGAGAGATGTTCAACAGCTGCCGAGAATCGGGTGGGTGGGTGCGTTGAAGCTGTACCTGTTGGGTTTCTTCCTGTCCAGGCGGCTCTGGAAAGGCTCTCCGACGGTACATTTTGCAGCTCGCAAAGGGCGTAGGTGCGCCGGCCGGGAAAGGAGTTGGCGACCCGTTAAAAAAACACGTTGCTTACGGAGGACTTCTGGGATCAGCCGTTGGTGGGGGAGACCTTTGGTATGACAGGATAAAATTAAGAGCAGGGTAAAAGGCGATAATTTCCTTGCCACGGGGTGGCCAACGCTTGCTCCGCGTGGCTCTGAGGAAGCAACGCCTGCTCTCCTGCCGAGATTGTATCTCTTCCCACGTGATCTTGTCCCCCATGGCTGCATAATCTCTCGCTAACACTTCTTGATGCTAACTTGAACACTCATTTCAGGAGACTGTTCGGTTGACAATAAAGCTTTGGATTGGTTACTGGCTGTGTTTCTCCCTCCCCCCCAACACACTTGCCATTCGCCCTGACCAAGGAAGTCCTCCAGGGGCCTTCGGTGGCCCATCAAATCTCCTGTTTGATGTAGTGGTTAAGAGAATGGACTCTGATCTGGGAGAACCGAGTTTGATTCCCCACTCCTCCACATGCAGCTGCTGGTGTGACCCTGGGTCGGTCACAAGTTCTCTCGGAGCTGTTCTCTCAGGAGCCGTTCTCGAGAGAGCTCTCTCAGCCCTGCCTACCTCACAGGCAGTGCTCCCTCTAAGCTGTGAAGCCTTGTGAGCAGAAATTCTACTTTGTGAGCTACTGGCATTAAAGTTGTGAGTGAGCCATTTGGCTACTGCATAAATTAGTTTGCTCTGGAGCCCTCCTTCCTGAGCGAAGACAAAAATGTGTGAGCTGGAGGCTAAAATACTTTGAGCTAGCTCACACTAACTCAGCTTAGAGGAAACACTGCTCACAGGGTGTCTGTTTTGGGGAGGGGAGGCGATTGTAAGCCTCTCTGAGACTCCTCCAGGTAGTGAAGGATGGGGTATAAATCTAATTTCTTCTGTTGTTGCTTCATGCCCACAACAGCAGGCAGGGAATTGCCCAGCCTCATGATCCAGAGGGTTGCGTTCATCGTGGCTACTCACTTAGGCTGGTTCATGTGTGCGGGGAGTGGAGCCTGGGGGCGGGGGCGGGGACCCCTTCGACCAATGGCATCGAATTCCCGTTTCCTTTGCATTAAAAACACACACACCTGACGGAAGACTAGTGCAGCAGCATCCAGAAAGGCTCTACCGTCTTCCCTTGCCTGGCTGGGTTTCTAACTGCGGGGAGTTTCACGCACAGGAAAGCATTAAAAAACTGAATCCTCGAGGTGTGCCGCCTGTTCTACCACCTCGTTCTCTTGCATGTGTGAGTCGGCAAATTCCACAAGCGGCCCCCATGCTGATGGAGGGGGCGAGGGGTGGGGTCGCATTGAGCTCTAATTTGTGCTTCCTCCCACTCTGCAGTAGAAAAGAGCAAGAGTCCAGTAGCCCCTTTGTTGGGTGATAGGGAAATATTGAAAAAATGGTATTTAGCAGAGATAAGAGAGTCCAGCAGAGCCAGAGTAAGATAATTCAGACTGAGAGTCCATGTGTGATTAAAATATAAAGTTTTTACTAAATTCTAGCATGGGAAGGGTAACTGGGATGAAAATAACAACAGAAGCAGAATCGGCTACATCCTTACTCTACAAAGACAAAACTAGAAGAGAAGAGAGTATGGCTGCTCTCCTTGTTCTTTTTCAGAACACCAAACAAAGACGGGAAAAGAAGCCATAAAATGGTAATGCACCTTGACACTTTAGTCCCAATCAAATCCCTAGATCAGGGAGAAAATTCCCGGGCTTTCTACAGCTAAAGAACATTGGTTACATGAAAAACATGTGACTTCCTGTGAGTAACATAAACAAACATTTAACCCCAGATATACTGAGTGTTTTCAACTTGTAATACCCAACACCCTTCAAGACTATATTTGTGGCAGGCAGGGGTCATTTCATAGAAAAAGAGGTGCAGGAGCTTATTAGCATAACTCATTAGCATAACTTATTTGCATATGCCACACCCCCTGACATCACCGGAAGTGTGTCAGAAGGCAACACCCACTGCTCAGGCTCTGGACTGTTTTGGATTGCTAGCTATTGGGGGGGAGGGGACATGCAGATCTGTCCTTGCAGATGAGGGAGAGCTTGTACCTGAATAAAATTGGGTCTTAAAGGTGCCACTGGACTGTTTTGGATGGGGGGGGGGGCTCTGCAGCTTACCTGAGGGCTGCTGGGAGCAGGGGGTGGGGCTTGTTGCATGTGCCCGCCCCCTGGGCTCTTTACTGCCGGAGCTCCGCTCCTGTGCGCTCCTGCAGGAAATGACCCCTGGTGGCAAGGGAGAAGCTTTCATGAGTCCCTCCTCCTCCTTTCTTCTTCCCCTGCCAGTGGCTGTGGTCACACACACTAAATAGTCCACTTTTAATGCACTTTCCAAGTGGATTATGCCAGTTCACACAGTAAAAATCCAGTTGGAAAGTGCACTGAAAGTGGATTACTTAGCATGTGTGAACACAGCCACAATGTTTTTTTCCAGGCCCTTCTCGATCTATCTGAAGAAGTGAGCCGTGACTCAGGAAAGCTCCTCCCCTGCCACAAATTTTGTTCATCTTGAAGGTGCTGCTGGTCTCTTGCTCTTTTCTACTGCTACAGACGGACGGACACCCATCTCGATCTATCCCATTGCTCTGTCACGCGACATGGGTGGGAACGGATTCTGTTGCCCTAAGTCCGTTTGAATTCTGCGGGCCCTCCGTTTTTAGACACAAGCCTACCGGGGCGATAGCGAAACTGTTCGTTTACAAACTTCTTCCCTTTGGATCTTGACCTTTCTCCAAGGGGCACTGCATGGGGTCGGGTGGGCCCGTGGCTCAGTGGTAGAGCATCTGCTTGGTGCGCCAAAGGTCCCAAAGGTCAATCCATGGAACCTCCAGGTAAAAAGATCCAGTTGCAGATGATGTGAAAGACCTTGGGGGGGCCTCCGCCAGTCTGAGTGGACTGCAAGAGTCCAGCGGCACCTTAAAAAGGTAAAGGTTCCCTTGCTTGAAAGTCAGTCGAGTCTGACTCTAGGGTTGCGGTGCTCATCTCCGTTTCAAAGCCGAAGAGCCAGCGCTGTCCGAAGACGTTTCCATGGTCATGTGGCCGGCATGACTAAACACCAAGGCGCACGGAACACTGTTACCTTCCCACCGAAGTGGTACTTATTTATCTACTTGCAATTTCTTGCTTTTGAGCTGCCAGGTTGGCAGGAGCTGGAACTAGAGATGGGAGCTCACTCCGTCATGCGGCAACTCGGGTCTCGAACTGCTGAACTACTGACCTTCCACAGCCTGCAGTTCAGCGTCTTAACCACTTGTGCCACCGCAGCACCTTAAAGACTAACAAAATATGTGGCAGGGTATTATTTGATGGACTTCCATTCTGTACGGCTAAATGCGGTGTTTTCCATGGAGACCGATCTAGATGGGTAGCCGTGCTATAGTCTGTCTGTATTTTGTTTGTCTTTAAGGTGCTACTGGACTCTTGCTCTTTTCTACTGTTAGTCTAAGGCAGTTTCATGTGTTCATAAATAGTGCTGTGGTCTCACAACAACCTGACAAGGTAGGTCTGGCCAAGGAGAGGGCCTCGCTTGTGGCCACTGCTGGCTCCGGGCTATGGGTTCAAGCAGGGCTCCAGGAGGTTTCCGAGTACCTCAGCCTGTGTCAAGTCTTGGGGCTCGAACTGAATTTTTCGGATGCGGCCCTATTGGCTGCTCAGGTCAGAGCTCTCTCAGCCCCGCCTACCTCACGGGGCGTCTGTTGTGGGGAGGGGAAGGGGAAGGAGTTTGTAAGCCGCTCTGAGACACCTTCAGGCAGTGAAGGGCGGGGTATCAATCCAAGTCCTCCTCCTTCATAGTGGATTGAAGACTAAAAGGCCTGTTATTGTGAAATATCCGTCAGGGTCTGTGGACCAAGTTTGCAAGTGCCACTGGAGGGTATTTCTTGAGTCTCTTGTGCATGCTTTTTTAGAAATGGCCCAGGCAAACCCAATCTCCTGAGATCTTGGAAACTAAGCAGGGTCGGCTCTGGCTAGTCTTTGGATGGGAGACCTCCAAGGAATGCCAGGGGCATGACGCAGAGGCAGGCAATGGCAAAAACCACCTCTGAATGTCTCTTGCCTTGAAAATCCCACGGGATCACCATAAATCAGCTGTGACTTGCCGGCACTTTCCACCACCACTAGAGACAAGCACGCCCTTCGAGAGCCATGCCACGGCGCTGCCTTTGGGAATCCTCCTGGGCACGGGAGCGAGGTTGCGCCAGCTGTGTGCCTCTGCTGTGCTTAATCACTCTTCTGCAGCCAACAGGCTCAGGGATTATCCATTTCCTGAGCAGAAGGATCCAGCGCTTAATACCCTCCCGGCAGCTGGAGACCCGACGTTTCCTTTTCACAAGGGCATCTGCCTTGTATGTTTTCGTCCCGTCCTTCCCTCGAGGGACACAAAAGAGGTGCGTATGGTTCTCCCACACTGTGTCCACGACCCTACAAGGTAGGTCGGGCGGGGAGAGATTGAGCGGGAGGGTGAGGACTTGAACCCGGGTCTCTCGGCTTGCTCTCTGACTTGTATAGTCCAGGCTAGCCCAATCTCGTCAGATCTTGGAAGCTAAGCAGGGTCGGCCCTGGCTAGTCTTTGGATGGGAGACCACCAAGGATGTCCAGGGTTGCTACGCAGAGGCAGGCAAGGGCAAAAACCACCTTGAATGTCTTTTGTCCTGACAGGGATGACCCACGCTAGCCTGATCTCCTCATATCTCAGAAGCTAAGCAGGGTTGATCCTGGTTCGTACATGGATGGGAGACCACCAAGGAATCCCAGGATTGCTACGCAGAGGCAGGCAATGGCAAACCACCTCTGGACATCTCTTGCCTTGACCTGGATGGCCCAGGCTAGCTCGATCTCATTGTATCTCAGAAGCTAAGTGGGATCAGCACTGGTTCGTACTTAGATGGGAGACCACCAAGGAAGTCCGGGGTTGCTGCGCAGAGGCAGGCAATGGCCAACCACCTCTGGACATCTCTTGCTTTGACCTGGATGGCCCAGGCTAGCTCCATCTCATCGTATTGCGGAAGCTAAGTGGGATCAGCCCTGGTTCGTACTTAGATGGGAGACCACCAAGGAATCCCAGGGTTGCTACGCAGAGGCAGGCAATGGCCAACCACCTCTGAGCATCTCTTGCCTTGACCTGGATGGCTCAGGCTAGCTCGATCTCATCGTATCTCAGAAGCCAAGCGGGGTCAGCCCTGGTTCGTACTTAGATGGTAGACCACCAAGGAATCCCAGGGTCGCTACGCAGAGGCAGGCAATGGCCAACCACCTCTG